CCACACACGCGCGCGGCGCGCGAGCCTCGCGCCTCGGGCGGGGGCGACGGCGGCCCCCGCCCCCCCGAGCGGGCTGGGCCTGCGCTGCACGCCGCGCCCCTTCCCCGGGTTTCCACCGCGCCGGGCGAGCGCGTGCAGGGGAAGGAGGCGATCGGGGCGGCGCAGTCGCACAAGGGGCCGGAGGGGGCGGGGGGAGCCTGATCCCGACCCCGATGCACGAGGCTGGCGCCCTGCGCGTGTGTGGGACTGCAACGCCCATCATCCCCCAGCCGGCAGAGCGGGTGACGCGCTCACAGCCGCAGCGGTGCAGCCTGCACGCCCCTGCCCCGTGGGACCGGGAAGTCCAGGGTCTGGAATGGCTTCGGATCGGGAAGAGGCTCCGTCTGATTTTCCCAGCTCCTCTGGCGATGGTTTTGGACCTGGTTGCCTGGCTGTCTCGTCTTTCCTTACGTTTTATTGTGAATTGCATTACTTTCCTAAAACCACCATGAAATCCTGCAGCTTTTTTGCGCAACACTGAATGCAACCATAAAGATCTGTACCTGTTGAAGGGCCATGCCCTTTCGTATCAAGAACAATAGACTATTATTCCCAAGCAAAGTTCTGCTCTGGCTTCAACGAAACCAGAGCAGAAGTGCCGGAAATGAGGCAGTCCTGCTTTAGGCACATCATGAGAAGACCGGGCTCCCTGGAGAAGACCATCCTGCTGGGGAAAGCCAGCAGTGTGCCTTTGGAACTCCCTGGCACAAGCCCTTAAGCCATTCCAAGTAATTTCGATGGCCCTTCTCCTTCCCTCTTCTCTGCCTTTCGCTTGGCCAACCTGGCTGGAGGCTGGGCATGTCGTGAGCGGAGCCGGCTGGTGCCGGAGGTCAGACTAGATGGCCCGGGAGACCCCTTCTGACTTGCCCTGTTTCTGTGTTTCTAAGCTTGGCCTCCTCAGCCAGGTTGCCTCTGCCGCTCTCTCCAGCCCACTTCCCACATTCTTTTCCACTTGATGTTTTGATACTGTGCGGGGCCTTGTTTTTCTTTGAAACCCTTCAGAGAGGATCGTTATTATTTCTGGCTTGCTCCTTGCTTTGTCTTGCGTGTCGGCTGCATGTGCCATCTCTCCCCCTGGAAGGAAGCTGGAGCTAAGATGCCAAAAGCTGCCGCAGGATATCTTGAATTACTGAGTCGGGGAGGGAACTCTTGCTGCATGTTTCTGCCCCTGCAATCCCTCTTAACATCAAAGTCCAGCAGCTAATGCTGAAAAGTCATTGGTAGCTTGTCCTGCACTTTCCTCCTCCTCTTTATCATTCAAATTTTGGTCTTTCAAGGGAAGCCTAATTCTGAAGAAAAGGCCGATTTCCCCTGGAATCTCAGTAAAACTACACAATTTTATTATATTTATTTATTTAGAATTTTTGTATGCCGTCCCATTCACATGAGCCTCAGGATGGCTTACTTACTATAAATTAGTACAATACGAATAGTGTACAGAAAATCCAGAATCACCCTGGCAGCAAATTAAAACCTATAGATGATATTAAAAATTGTTAAAATATTGTTTAAATAAAAAGGTCTTCGCCTGGCGCCTAAAAACAAATAACGACAGCGCCAGGCGGACCTCTCTGGGGAGCGCATTCCATAGGTGGGACTGATTGTCTTGCTGATTTGGAATACAATTCCAAAAATGCACAGCTTTTGCAGAACAAGCCATTTTTTCTCTGCTTTACAGGGAAAAGGGACTGACGTAAGAGCATGGAGAAGGCTGCAGACGGGCGGAGAAGGAAGGACAGGTGCTTGGCATGCAAAAGCTCACAGGTGCCACGTCCCGCGTTTCCAGGTACGGCTGGGAAAGGGTCCTGTTCGAATGCCGCAAGCCTCTGCTGGAAGGCCCTGTTGTATTTCGCCTGTGATGTTTGTGTGCTGGTCCCCACCACTGGGGGCAGGACATTTCCATCCGGGATATTCAGCTCAACCGTCTGCATGATTTACCCGCTCTTGTTCTCGCCCAGGAAGTTCACCAGGGGCCTTGGGCTGCCCCACACTGCTCTGAACCAAATGCCCGTTCCACAGGCTTGTCCGTAAATGTAAGAACTTGGGGACCGTGCTAGATCCAACCCAGTGTCCTGCCCCACACCCTGCTTGCATGACGGCCCACCGGCTGCCCACAGGATTCCCCCAGGCAGGACTAGAGAACGGGAGCACTCTCCTACCCATGCTCCCCAGCAACCGGTGCACCAAGATGTATTGTCTGTGATACTGAAATTAGCATATAGCCATCTGGTCTGGGAACCACTGATAGTCTTTTCCGGGAATTTAATGAGTCTGCTGTGATGATAAGAGGGGCTGTGAACTGAAAATGAGCTTCTAACTTTGCCCCAGTGTGTGCTATGTAACAACTCAGCAGAGTTGAAAATATATTTTAAAACTCCAGCAGGTGAACTGTGAATATCCTGTGCAGAATAAGCACACGTCACACAGGAAGTCGGAAGATCGGCATGGTTTATAGAGGAAAGGAAAGGCTGAAGAACATCACCTGGAGAAAGGAAAGGTGGCGCATCCAATTATATGGAAGAACATCCAACGCTAATGTGGTGTCGAGCTCAATTTAACTTGCGGAGGGTTATGAGGGAACTCCCTGGGACAACAGCCAGAGAGCATCGGAGAAAATAATTTGGGCATGCAAAACTTTCGGTTGCATTTGCCCAACATTGGAAGAGTGAAGAGCCACCTACCGACGAACTGATTCTAAAACAGATCTTGGACTGCCCCGAAATGGGCAGAGTGACTTTGTCTCTGAAGGAGAAAGATACAGACTTCAGTCAAACTTGGAATTCCTTTTATTATTGGCTAGAGAAACGGGACTATGCACAGATTTAAATATGTTTATGGATTACCATAAAAAGAAAAAATATGGGGGGCTGACCCAGTAGGTCTGATGTTTTTGATGATTGACGTTTTTTTAGCTTTTTTTTCTCTGTTAGGTTTGTTAATTAGTAGAAAATAATAATAAAACTTATTTAAAAACAAAAAAACTTTCGGCAGGCCAAACCAGCTGCGGTTTGAGGTGCATCCTGGCTTCAGGTGAACTTTCTCCAGTCCAGACTGGTTGGCTGCAATTCTTGAAGCTTTCAGGTTGTTGTGCGGATGAAATGATGAGAAGGAGAACATCGTAAAGAGGACCGTTCCCACGGCTGCCGGGTCCGGACCAGCCTCAAGAGCACCTCCACACGGGACGCCTTGCAGGCCTGTCTACCTCTGCGGCTTGGTCTTCTCTTTGCCTCCTGCAGGAATTCGTCTTGACCAGAGGGCTGGAGGCAGCTTATTCCTTTCCCATGAAAGGCGCGAAGGCAGCCGCCCTGGCCATCAGAACAATGCCCAGATCCATCTAGCGTAAGACCCCAATTCAGCCTGCTCAAAGGCCCAGAACGAGCAACTGTTTGGATCTCTGCCCACCAGCATCCTGTACCAGCTCGCCCAATAAGAGATGGAAATCTCAAAAGCTTGCTCATTTTTTGCAGTTTTTGAGTTGCCCAAATAAATAAAGACCTTATGCAAGGTGGACCTGGAGTTTCGTTCCTTATTTATTAGAATAAAATTCGACTTGCCAGTTGTTTTACCTGGTGTTCAAGAGTATTATTCCCATTTTACAGATGGGCAACTGAGGCCAAGAGAGCGGTTACTGTGTGAGGGAGGGAGAAGTAGCAGATCTTGTGGGGGGGAAACTGAGCAAAGGGGTGCGTCTTTTAACACTTGGAAAACTGAGGAAGCCCTGGTGTGAGGTAGGAGATGGAGCAGCTGAGGAGAACGTATCCCAGTGGCAGGTGAGCTCTTGTATATGTACAAATGGACTTTTTCTAGTATTAATTATGCAAATATAAACATGCATTATTAAAGCCCCTCAGTTGGGCAATAGCTTTATTAGGTTTTGCCCAAATTCCACCCAACTGTGCAGGCTTGCGGATTCTTCAGAACTCTTCATCAGACCTGGTGTCTCATTCAGACCACGGATGCCCATTTTGGGATGGGGCCTACTAAACGGCAAGCCATGTGGACTCAAGGTGTGATCACTCTTTCTCCCATTCTGTTTCTTGCCCTGCTTCTCCCGTTTTTGTGCCAGCAGACCTGCTGAAGAATCCTGGAGAACCGGAAAGCTGGCCACATCGTCACGCGAGTCAGGTTGATCCTGGTAAAGCCCTAGCCCAGCTGTGAAGGGCGTATGTGCATGAGAGAGAGGGAATTTCTTAGCAACTGCCTACTGCTGGTTTTGCTTTTAAGTATATATTTCTTGACCTTTGTCCAGTTTTGAAGGTTTGCTGTGCCTTGTAAATGGCTGGGGAGCTCGCAACAGAGCTCTGTGCCTCCCACGGCCCAAGGACAGGGCCGGAAACCCGCCAGGTTTCTGGGCTACTGGTGTTCAACATGGCTTGGATCCATCTCTGAGGACGTGTGTGCCGAGCCAGTGGGACGGCCCGTTGGCCACCTGGGGCTGCTGCGGAGCAGAGGGCCAGGCACCTGCTTCCTGCCGTCGCCTTTGGATGCTTGCCTTTAGTCCCGGTCCCGCTCCCCCAGCCTGCTGCCTTGACCCCTCGTGCGGGATGTCGTGAGGAACGGCTCCGGCCGAGAGCACCGAGAAAGAAAGAAGACGGACTGACCCCCACTCTGCCCTGTGACATCTGCAGCTAAAAATATATCTGCGCCAGGCACTGTACAAACAGGAAGATCGAGTCCGCCTGCAAATAGCCGGGCTTGGAAGAGTCCCAG